TTTCTCTTTTTGGGGTTTTTTGTTGTTCTCCTGCCCTGGCGGGGGGTCGGGCTAGAAGATCTACTAGGTCCCTTCCGACCCTTAATCTATGAATCTATGAACAGGCTCCAGAACAAAGCGCATCTCGCCTCAGCAGCCAAAGGGTATTTTCTCTATCCTCCGGGACATCAGCACAACTTCCAGTACATTGACAAAAGATGAAACCCTTTGTACTTATTCCTTTAAAGGTGAACAGATGCCTTACAGCAGCTTCCCCGCAAGCCTAACAGAAGTAGCCGAAGGATTTTAACTGACTCCTGTACTCTTAATCCAAAGACTCACATAATAGCAGTGTCAGATTAGCTGGAGTGACTGCATTTAAATGCATTGCCCTGGCTCTTAAAATAGTCATGAAAGGACTGTCAGTCTAGTTTTGTTTCTAGGCTAAGAAGGAGGGGAGTAAAAAACGATGCACTGAATTAGCTTTCATGTGTAGGTGGGGTCAGCCTAATACCCAGACGTGCTGATTCATCAGCTCCACAGGCAGATCCTGCAGGCAGCTCTTATGGATGCTGACAGATCCTGTCGCCGTCTCCCCACCTCCGCGGCACAGCAAACCGGCCCTATGTGCTTGTGAGTGTGAACATGGCCCTCCATATAGTCACGCAGGATATGAATGCTTGTACCAGCCAAGGTTTTGTGGTAAACCAGAGATTTTGTCTATGCCCACAGCATGCCAGAGGCTAGTAGAAGCATTATAAACTTTCTAGATCAGTGACTCTTTTCACCATACATCTGTGCACTGGCCAGCACGGTAGGGACTTATCCCTCTCCTAATGCCCCTCATCACTGCTGAAAAGCCAGATCCTGTGCTTACATAAATCAGCATAACTCCAGCAACTGGAGGGGTGCTACAGCAATGTGTCAGCCCATGGGCTGTGCGCCAGAGGCATCTTTAAAAAATTGCAAAACGTCATCCCAAACGACATCCCACTCCCTCCTTTTCCTCACAATCTCGTACCTAAACATTAGCTTGGCCTTACTTTCATTGAAATCAATAAGATCTTCACTATTAACTTCAACAGGGCAAGACTGGACTCCAAAATATGAACCCAATATTTTTTGGATTTGAGTTGAACTTGGCCTTATAATTGGGAGCTTTGTTTCTGTTTGGTTCCCCAGGAGTCTTGTACACAAAGAAGAGCATCCCGCACCTGGATTCAACAGCCTCACTCATTACTAAACAGTAACAACGGCAATGCTGCAGTCCCGTAACTGAAATACTGACTCACACCTTGGGAAAGAGATACAAAGACAGACTTTCACCATTACATAAAACAACCTATTCAGGCTCAATTTCTGCTCTCCCTTAAGTCAAGAGGAGTTTTTTTACCATTCATTTCAATAGAAATGGGACAACATCTGTTATGTGGCCTCCAGTGCCATAACAGTAAGCAACATAAAACAAGAGATACAGTGCACGGTGAACTATTCCTTACAAAGAGCTTCATCAATCTTTCAAATCCTGTGGTACCTCCAGGGACTTGACTGTTGCCTCCTGTCTCATCTGGACTCAAGGAGTACCTCTTTATGCCTAAAGTCTGTTTTCTCACTGTACCTGCTGAGGACAAATACTCCCACTGCTACTATAAGCAGCTTCTCTGAAAATAGCTCAGAAAGCATCTGATCCAACTCCTACTGAAGTCAATGGGACTCTTTCTATCGACTGCAAAGGGAACCGGGTGGCTCATTACATTGTTTTTAACTTAAGTCAGAAAATAAGAGTCTCATAAAGCTCATGGGCAGATTTCCCAGCTTTTTTTCTAAGCTATACACAGTTGTTATTGCTGTTAAAACTCTATACCACATGTTAATAGTAATGCTCTGTATCATATGATTATGCACAGTCTACATTCTTTCTCTCTCTCTCAGATCAGTGTGGATAATATCTGTATTTAGTCATGATTCAGCCATCCAGAAATTGTCTTGATGTGATCTATTGAGAACAGAGATACACTGAAGAAGGCCACTTGAACTATTCATTACACATAACATTCAAAATGTAATTA